CGTTGCATGGTATTTGCGATTTTTGAGGAAGTAAAGACGAAGGAGGAGGCCGAGCTCTGAGATACTACCGCTGCCGGACGAGACGTGCGTTCTAATCGCCTCTCCAATGGTGCATCGTCAGTCGATTGCTGCTTGTGCATACAAAATTTAATTTAGAAATCCTAAAAACTCCTTTGAAGGACGCCAAACACCTGAGCAGATGTTAATCGGGGGGGAAAGACAGCGTGAGCGAACGAGGCGGACCTTTCCACCACTACGGACGAGTGCCGTGCGGTCTATCGTAAAAGAAAGAAATTCCTGAGACGCCAGAGTGCGCCTTGAGGCGGTTTAGGCCTCTGTAATACTGTAGAAAGGAAATCCCAAGTTGTGAACGGGAGCAAAACTGTATTGGGCGTGTTCGCGGCCTGGGGCTTTGCTCCAACCTGTAGGCATATGGCGATTACTCGGTAAATACGAATTAATTCAGAACTCGATTGGTTTCTTTTCCTAATTCATGGTTCAAGTTCAGATTACGACGAATACAGTACACAGTGGCGAATAATTCACGCTTATAGTGTAACATCGACATAAATACGCTGCATCCCGCTATAGATCACCGTTTCTTCTTAGGCTCTTTATCCCATTTCTGTCTCCAACGAGAATACGCATCGTGGTGTCCCCCGTCTGCCCATACTGCCCAACCATCCATAATGCCCAGCCACACAAACAGTGGAGAAGCAAGAAGATGTCGACGAAGCAAGCTGGGTATAGAATTCGGACGAGCACTAGGAATATACTCCGTTAAAATATAGTAAGCGACACCTAGGACGATCCCGATACCGAGTCCCCAAAGAATCTGGGATACTGTATGATACCCCAAGTGGTATCTAGATGGGAGTGTAAATAGACACCTGGTATAAAGACGCGAGTGATTTACCTCGAGTAGCAAACAGCAAGCGCTAAACTCAGGACAGCACCTCGGACCCCAATGGCAAACAAAAGGTCAAGGAGTATAAATCCGGTCGTAGAAAACCTGTGGCGACAGTGTAGGTGAAGGAGCATAAATGCGGCGAAATAGCCCATGAATTGTGAGTGCGAAGATGGAAAGCCGTATCCTCCACCGGACGGGTGAATCGCTGAAGTCGGGGTTGTTTACATCAATTCTTTGACGGCGCCACTGAGATATCTAGGTGCTTACTAGCGGGTCTCTCTTGTTTGATCAGGTGCTTGAGGATATAGTTAAAGCCCTCGCAACCAAACTGGCCTATCCACATATTGATGATCAAGAAATCGCGTGTGACGATACTGAGGGCACCGTAGCAAGCCTGAAGATCATCAGAGTGTCGGAAGGAATCGATTGCATACGAAAGCGTACCATGAGCAGGATGGGAGATAGTGTAACGAGTGCCAGCGCAAGTCCGAGATTCGATGTCGGGTCATCTAGGAAGAATGTCAGTGATCCCCGGAGAAGGAAAACATCAACAAACCTCGCTGGATACTACTTACAAAGAACGTGAGTAAGGTCTAACGCCTCTAGGGGCGTCGTTGTATTCGTTTCGACCATGAAGTAAGGTCCAAAGTTTGGTTCTCAGTCATCGCCTATGAGAACATGCTCGCCGGCCTCGCCGATTGCCAAAAAAAGAAAAAAAGGGCTGCACTGGGAGTTGAACCCAGGACCTCTCGCAGATTGGTTACCCAAAGCGAGAATCATACTACTAGACCATGCAGCCAAGCATTCATTGCGGAGGTTAAGCTTTCAATAAGTTTTTTTTCAGACGCGGCTCACAGCGAAAGTCCAACCAGCTTCACGCTCCTTCAACCCGACCTTACGCTAGTCGACACTGTGGCTGGAGGCGGAACACGGCAGACAGCTTATTCAACGCGCATCTACTCCTGTATTTCTCAAAAAAAAAAAAGCTACACAACCATCGTTTGTCAGCAGCCCAAGCAGCTGCCTCGTGTGGGTTATACATTGGCAGCGGGCAGCAATTCCCGAGTCAACTTTTTCGCTTTGGATGATCCGAACAAGCTATATAATATGCTCAGTTGCAGTACTCGGTCTTCTCAAGTCCGGCTTGTTGCTCTCTGTTGCGCTGACAGGGACCGAGGTTGGGCTGACAGGGAGCAGCCACCCCCAAGCCAATCGCGAATTGGCCCATAATTCATGAATATGAAAAACCACAATCACTCAGACCTGCTTTCCATATGCAGAAAGGGAATTTGCGAGCATCCACCGGCTCATCGTCGTTCGGACTTTGCATCTTTCCGTGACATTTTCGAAAGGACCGCAACCTCACCTCTCGCGTGATAAGATGGCTCAGGTACACGACTGTCCTCTAGCATTCGCTCCCCCTCCCCCCTTCCGATGGCGACCTCCGAAAGTAAGGCCTCTCGTGCGCTCGATTAACCCATCTACCTTGCTTATGTGCCTTTAGAACCCCAATTGTCCTACTCTTCCCAGCCACTCAGCCCAGGGCATGACTCCATGATGAAGGGCGATCTCGAAGGGCAGAGTCCCGAACGCTCTTTGCAGGACGAGAAACTGCGTGAAGATGACCAAGGCGCACAGATGCGGAAATGGAGTATTCGATGGTGGAGGACTACATGGAGTGGTACCAGAAAGGCTAAGACGTGGCCTAGAGTGGTCTATTGCGCGTTGGGCATTTTGTTCTTTGGCGTTTGGATTTCTGTAAGTGCTGTCAGAGAACGTAGCTTAAGTGGGTATCCTGACCTTTTAATTCGTAGGTGATGATGGGCCTGGTTGACTCTGAAGTCAAACATGGCAAGTGGACATGATTTAGACTTGATGTGGTGGCTCATCTGTCTCCCAAAGAACAAGCGAATGCGAAGGCCTGGAGGAGGGATAACCCGCAGGCCCTTCATCACCATACTCAGCCTGGCCCTACCAACGGATCCGTTTGTGTTATTATTCCGCTGCAATTTCCGGAGCTGATTCCTCTCAAGGTTCTACTTCAAGGATCGCTTGTCAACTTCAATATCGAGAAGCGTGCACTCAGTGGGTACTACTGATACGGCAACGGCTTAATACTCATGATATTTCAGCAATTACTTGGTCAGGGCTATACCTATATGACTCCAATGAAGAGCCTGTCGAGCTAGGAGATAAAACCAACAGGCAGAGTTTCTGGTACCCGAAGGGTATCGAGATCTTCCGCGACATTGGCTCCGAACTTATAGATGCATTATACTTCGACCCCGATTCAAAGCAGAATATGTCCATTCCGACGTATAGAACAGACAACGAAACAGCCAGACCAATTGGTGTTGTCGGTGCCCACGTCTGGGATAGTTTTGATACAGATATCACATTCACGCAGAGATACCAGGAAAATGCTTGGCTCCAGCCGTTACTGGGCTATCCATTTGACCAATGGGAAGGTATCATTACTGGTTTATTCCTGTATCCTCCAATGCGCTAAGTTGGTCCACTCCAGGGAAAATTGTCTTTGTCGCGAATGATCGAGAGATTTCGGATCTCCTGTCCCCAAATAACAGCGCCATAATTGGGTTACCTGGCGTCAAGTTGGTGGATAGCACTCGTCAGTTTATACCATCAGTGTGGTTTCTCACTCGCTAAAATTTTCTCTAGTCAATTGGCGATTCACAGTCAAAACGAAGAACAAGTGCGAATTGAGCGAGACGGCGCATTGGGATGAAGATTGGACTATGCCCGACTCTTGCCATCTCGTCAGTGGAAAAAATAAATCTCGTGCTCTCCTTCTGCTCTTATGAAACTTTACAGGAGATTATTTTTACCGGCAAGAGACCCCCACTACTGATCTTTTGTGCTATTGCTGCTGTCGTGGTCAACTGGACATGCGCGGTCTTCATCTTCATCCTTACGTGCGAGGCTATTGTTATGCGCCGTAGCTACATGTTACAAGGGACAGATATCCTGTCAATGTGCTTCACCGCCTTGTTCGCGCTGCCCACTATTCGTGCCCTCCTTCCAGGTATTTAGGTGATGGCCGACAATATGCAACGAGACACTGACTTTGTGTGCCCATGTACTTAGGTGCGCCATCCTATGGGGCCATTATCGACCTTGTCGGGATTTTGCCGTGTACCTTGATAGGTGAGTAGAGTATGCTGGTTTTCCTATGGGTTTCAGGCTGACTGGTCTGTTTTTACCCTCGTAGTCGCATTGTGCGCGTGAGTAGATTGTATTTTTGCCATGAACTCTGAGCTGACTCGCCCGAATTAGCGTCTGTACGTCGGTTGCCAAGCTCAATAAGCGACAAAAGGCAGAATGAACCTTTTCTGTGATACTGCTAGAGCTCTCCAGCACTTGTATTTGGTATGACGAATTTGACGACTTTCGCATGCATCCTATGGTCTGTGTATTAGAACTGCAACGTTCATGGCGAGTATATACGGCAAGCACAATGGTACGTGTGGCCAGGTGGAGGTATATGCTCGAAAGCGGTATGTCGTGCGGCTAGAAATCCTGTCGAGAGTGGCGCCTTTCCATCTTGTCTGCGTCTACTTCAGTACGTCCCTCGGGCTTAGCTCCTTTTTAGCACGATTATGAACGGAGACTGACCCATAACGGGCTCGGAATCAGGCGTCCCATCCTGGCGCCTGTTTCCCCAGCGTTCGAGATGCGGTTTCAATTTTTCTTCCACCTCCTCTTATTCACCAAACATGATCATATGATTCTGCTTGCGGTTACCACCCCAAAGGCGCTCGGACTTTGCAGTTTTCCGTGACGTTCTTGCTGGGATTCCGCCAATACCCCTTGCACAGGAGGAATATCCCGTTTGTGTATTCCACCTTCTTCGCTCCTCCTGTCCATCATTCGAATATTGAGGCTAAGTTCTTTATAAATTACTTTCTTGCAAGTAGCAGCGAGCGTTAACTGGCTTCACGCTCCTTCAACCCGACCTTACGCTTGTCGACGCTGTGGCTAGAGGCAGAACACGGCAGATGGCCTCTTCAACGTGCATTCACTCTCGTATTTCTCAAAAAACTACACAGTCATCGTCTGTCAGCAGCCCAAGCAGCTGCCGCGTGTGGGGTTATACATTAGCGGCAAGGAGCAATTCCCGAGTCAACTTTTTCCTCTGGATGATCCAACTGAGATATATGATACGATCAGCTGCAGTACGCTTGTCGCTCTGCGTTGAGCTGACAGGGACCCAACTTGGCTGACAGGGAGCAGCCACCTCCAAGCCAATCGTGAATTCTCATGAATATGGAAAACTACGATCACTCAGCCCTGCTTTCCATATGCAGGAAAGGAGTCTGCTAGCATCTAGCACCTCATCGTCGTTCGGATTTTGCATCTTTCCGTGACATTATCGAAAGCACCGTAACCTCACCTCTGGCGTTATAAGATGGCTCAGGTAGTCGACCGTCCTCTACCATTCACCCCACCTTCCCTCCCTCTGATGGCGACCTCCGAAAGTAAGGCCTCCCGTGCGTTCAATCCACCCGTCTACCTTGCTTACGCGCCTGTAGAGCCCCAATTGTCCTATTCTTCCCAGCCTCTCAGTTCAGGGCATGACTCCATGATGAAGGGCGATCTCGAAGGGCAGAGTCCCGAACGCTCTTTGCGTGATGAGAAGATTCATGAAGATGAACAAGGTGTACAAACGCGGAAATGGAGTATCCGATGGTGGAAGACTACATGGAGTGATATCAGAAAGGCTAAGACGTGGCCTAGAGTGGTCTATTGCGCGTTGGGCATTTTGTTCTTTGGCGTTTGGATTTCTGTAAGTGCTGTCAGAGAACGTAGCTTAAGTGGGTATCCTGACCTTCTACTTCGTAGGTGATGATGGGCCTGGTTGACTCTGAAGTCAAACATGGCAAGTAGACATGATTTAGACTTGATGTGGTAGCTTATCTGTCTCCCAAAGAACATGCGAATGCGAAGGCTTGGAGGAGGGACGGCCCACAGGGCCTTCAGCACCAAAATCAGACCGGCGTTACCAACGGATCCGTTTGTGTTATTATTCTGTTACAGTTTTCGGAGCTGATTCCTCTCAAGGTTCTACTTCAAGGATCGCTTGTCAACTTCAATATCGAGAAGCGTGCACTCAGTGGGTACTACTGATACAGCAACGGCTTAATACTCATGTTATTTCAGCAATCACTTGGTCCGGGCTATACCTATATGATTTCAATAAGGACCCTGTGGTGCTAGGAGATAAATTCGACGATCGCAGTTTCTGGTTCCCTATGGGTATTGAGATCTTCCGCGATATTGACTCGGGGATTGAAACAGCATTATACTTCGACCCAGTCTCAAACCAGAATACGTCCATTCTGACGTATAGAACAGACAACGAAACAGCCAAACCAATCGGTGTCATCGGCGTACATGTCTGGGATAGGTTTGATACAGATATCGCATTTACGCAGAGATACCAGGAAAATGCCTGGTTTCAGCCGTTGCTGGGTTATCCACTCGATCAATGGGAAGGTATAATCACACTCTATTCCTATATCCCCCATGCGCTAAGTTACTCCGCTCTAGGGAAAATTATCTTTGTCGCAAATGACCGAGAGATTTCGGATCTCCTGTATCCGAGTAACAGCGCCGTAATTGGGTTATCTGGTGTCGTGTTGGTGGATAGTACACGTCGGTTTATACCATCATTGTGATTTCTCACTCGCTAAACTTCTCTCTAGTCAATTGGCGATTCACAGTCCAAACGGAGAACAAGTGCGACTTGAGCAATGACGATTTGCCCATGCCCGACTCTTG